TTTTCTTTTAATATCACCTTGGGCCTGGCTGACAAATGCTGAGTTGATCATTCGAGAATTCTCAGGGGCCCCTGGATTAAGAGGAGTATATAATCTATATGACTCCAATAATCTTTCATAAAAGGCACTAGGTGACTCATCAACCTTTTGCAACAGCTCAACCATCTTTGACATATTGATTGCCTGTCAGCACCATTCACATTCCAATTTGGGTCAACATTTGGATAATGGGCTGCAGCCATGCAGCAGGATTGGCCTGATTTTGAGTACGAGCCGTTTCCCCAAGCGCTTTAATAGCCGCTTGATTAATCCGGGTTCTTTCATCACAATTAAATAAAGTTAATAATAATTGCTGGCAATCGGCCCAGGTGGGATTGTGTGTTTGTATAATGGAGGTAACCAAATCTGTCATGACTTGAAGTTTGTCGGTATACGAAGAGTTATGAGTCTTCCAATTGAATAGATCAGTTGTGGTGAAGGGGACATAGACAAACACAGGATCTGCCCATTGTATTTGACCATTTTCGTCAACATGTGTTGGGCCCGGTGTAAGTCGGAGGGGCATTTGGCAATGTCGGGGTTGAAAGGTACCAGTTATCTGTCGGGTTAATATAGGACTTCAGCAAGGTGGTTTAATAGTAAGTTCCGGTCTAGGGGTAGTAACGTAAGGAGAATGAGGCAGGTTAATTTTACTGGGCGGAAGTTCAGTCAATAGGATGTTGCGGGCCGGGCTGGGAGGAGCCTGACCAGGAACCAGAAGTGACGTTAATTCCGGATATATAGAACTAGTGGAGGTAGGTACCGGAAGGGGAGGATTTAGGGCAAGTGGGCTGGGCTCTAAACTAGATGAATGAGTGAGCAGGGACAATGGGGCAGGAGGGGTGGCAACACCAGCAGCACCTCCTCTTACCTTGGAGGAGGAGTAAGTGGGTGGGGAGGGAAGTTCAGACTCAGAAGGAGAGCCTAAAATGGGTGGGGTTGCGGCCCTGATGGACAGGCAAGTCCTGGCCACCATGAGGCGACATTGCTCCTCGTGGCATACCTTAATCCATTTAGGCAATTCTTCCACAATCTGTTTCCAACAATCAATATACGGAAACTGATCATAGAATTCAGGCCTACTATATACAGCCGCGTGCACACGTTGTACTAGAGTTAGATCAAGACTACCACGTGGAGGCCATGCGTTCACCAAGATAGGCCACTCTCTACTACATAATGTAGTCAAACGCTTTGGGGATAATTTCACCCCAAAATCACAAACTTTATATCCCTTTGCAAAGTTGTTCAACATACACGACAAGGGATCAACAATCTTTGAGTCAGGCGCACCCATACTGGCAACGGAGCGTCTAATACAAAGAAACACAATACCCCAAACACACTTCCAACGATCACACTTGTTTCCCTGGCAACAGCACCAAGTGGCACAGTTGCTAGGCCAAATACACACACACGAAAACATGCAGAGAATTCTCGTACATACCGCGATATAACGACATCTCACTCACAAAGATTTACCAAACACTAGATACGTATCTCTGTAACTATAAATCAAACCCTACAATTATCCACACTATAAATCAACTTTTAACTAACCGACTATATCACATTCTAGTAACATCATCTTTACAATCAGTGGTTATGGCACGGTTAGCAAGTGGTTATGGTACAGTTTTAAAGTCACAGATCAGTTAGTAACAGTTATGGTGTTACACATATAACATAAGACAACAGTTTTTAGTAATTTTACACAACATCAGTAGTTATAGTACGCTATTATACAGTATACACACAATTTACACTCCCACTAGACGGCAGAGCTCAAGCTTTCTAGCAGGACATACAATTTACCAATTCACCAACTACAGTATATTTAACAACATTTACAATAATCCCAACTATTCTAATTGGCAAGCACCTCGAGAACTATCAAAATATTTACACCAGGATTCGGTTAGTCTACGCTGCCCAAACACCACATATAGTGAACTAGTGGGTGGAATTTACAACAGTACCCATTTAGTCTATCTACTCTATCAATAGTCTAGTGGCTGAATTTACAACAGAGCACACTTAGCCAAGATAGGTTGAGAGCTAGCAGACGGAATGTACACCAGAATCTGCTTAGTCCCGCTGGCCTCCCCGACCTAGCAACCAAAATGTACACCTAGACACGCAAGTCAAGACAGGACACCGGTGTCCGGCATGAACTATTTACACCAAGATTCAGCCTGACCCAAACCATCTATATTAGACGGCTGACTACAGTGCGTCTAATTTCCAGATAAGCGTTGCGCCTTCGCTTCTTCCCCCCAGAGGGAGGGGGCAGTCCAATAACCGGTTCCAAATATAAAACCCCTTGTGGGCCTACCGCTCTAACGGTATCAGTCTTACCTCTTCATTCCTGAACCTGGGCTCACACTCATTGACGGGGCACCCCGGTATTTACTATGTAAAGGCCGATGATCTCCTGGGCGAAGCAGCCCAGTGGCGCCGAGATGAAGGGATGTCCACGCAGAAGTTCAGGGGTGCTGCCGTAGAGAAGGTTGGTAAAAGTCTCCCGTCTCAAATCTCTGCGCCAGCTTCCGTGCGATGAGGTTCTCGGACCCAATGCACCAAAGATGTAACCGAGTAAACTTGCAGAAGACAGACACAGAGAGATGGATGCAGGTCTTCACGAAGTAAAAGGTCTTTATTAACATACCGATTGGGTCTCAGATGAACTGACGTTCCAAAACAGGTCTGAGGGCCGAACACATGGAGTACATGCTTTTTAAAAAACTATAACTCCTCCCATTAAATAGCTCCTCCCGCACATACCATTAACCAATCGGTGGACAAGATCTGAAATTCCTTATATGGGCAGACCACATGGCTCATCCGAAACAAAGGAGAAAGGAATGTGATTTCAGTTCCTGCATTCCTGCACATGCTCAGTACATTGATGACAGTATCTTAGCTACATGTAACTAACTAACTGATACAACATACACAACATACACGTGTACTTACATATGCCACGTGGAAATCTCGGCCTACTAAATTTACATTTCACCGAAATTCCATCACGGCTGGACATCCTCACGCTATATGAGGACCTACAGTGTTGCTGAAATCCCCAAAGGAAAGCATTGAAAGCATTATGTTCTCTTGTTGTGGTAATTTTTTACCTTTTAAATATAGTCTTATGTTATGTATTTAAATGTTTCTATCATATCCCCCCTGTCTCGTCTTTCCTCCAAGCTATACATGTTAAGATCCTTTAACGTTTCCTGAAGATCATAACTTATCGTTATATGACTATATTTACTGTTACAATAAATATTAACATTCAGCAACAACTGCCCTGATTGAAGTGAGTTTTGCTGGCAGAATTAATTGAAGAAATATATGAACTTTGTCAAAACATAACAATAAGCATACCAGATTAGTTAGCTTTATTATTAATACATACATATACATTCACACACACATAAGCTTTGAGGGGGTTCAAGCACAAGACATTTAGCCCTGACTTTCTACAGGTAGTGGATCTGGTAGGATCATAATAATAATAATAATAATAGTGTTTTGGTTTGTTGTTTTTTAATAATACTTTATTATTTTATTTAGTATTATTTATTATAATTCATTATAATTCATCTGATAAAAAAAAACTAAAAATCGTTTTTGTGGTGTGTTTGGGGACAGAAGCATCAGCAACACACACTTAATGGAGAACGGGGATATAACATTATCTGTCAGGCTATCTGTGTTATTCTGTGAGAATTTAAAGTGAATTTGAAATTTAAGACCACAGTAGCCGAATTGGAAGCATAACGGGTTTAGAGAATATTTCCAGTTCGACTTTTTCTTACCTTGAATTTGAAATTCACTTTGAAATCTCACTTCAGTGAATAACCCTGTAGGGGTTATTAAGTTTTTATTTTGGGCTCAAGCGGGTGTTTTTGGAACCTGCACACAAACAAACACACAATCATACAGACACGTACATACACGTTCCCACACTTTATTTTAAGAGGTCCGCCCAATTTTCCTACCTGTGCTTTGGAGGCCCGAAGTGGATCATCTCCACGGGGACCAATAGTGTTTTTGTGATCACACAGCTACCAGAACACTAGAGGGTGCTGGAGTAAAAATTTATACTTATATATATACACACACACACCTCAGTGTCCACATCAGGCTTCCACAAACTCTGGCCCTCCAGATGTTGCTGAACTACAACTCCCATGATTCTGTGAATGAAATAGATAGGCTGAGAATCATGGGAGTTGTAGTTCAGCAACATCTGGAGGGCCGGAGTTTGGGGAAGCCTGGTCCAAATGGAATATAACAGGCTAATGAGATACCTGGTACCCAATAGCATCATCAATGCACTTGGCTGTCTGTAACTCCGTCCGGTAATGAAAGGCAAGTCTCTTGCCTTATTTTGTTTACATTGCGTTACGAAACTATCAGGCTTGACATTTAAGATTAAATTACAGTTTATGCCCAGTTTTAAGATGATAACATTTCCTGACTTTGGCAGCAGTACCAGCAGAAAGAAAGCTTTGTGAAACTTGGATTGTGATCTCTGATAACTGTTGCGTGCTACTAACTGAAATTTAGAAAATGTTACTGTTTGGTTACAGACAAAGAATTTAAATTTAGGTCAAAGTCCCATAGTGTGATGGGATTACAGCATGGTCAAAATTTAGTAGGCCGAAATCACCACATGGCATATGCTAATTAGTATCTGATTACAAACAGTTGGATGAGTCATCAGTATACTGAGCATGTGCAGGAATGCAGGAACTAAAATCACACTCCTTTCTCCTTTGTTTCGGATGAGCCATGTGGTCTGCCCATATAAGGTGATCCTGAATATCCTGTGTGCTGATTGGTCTGAGGAATATAGGAGGGGTTATACTGTATGGGAGGGGATATGCTGCTAACAAAAGGCCTCTGAACCATGCTTTCTGCCTCTCAGATATTTTTGGAACAGGAGTTCATCTGAGACCCGATCGGTGTGTAAATAAAAGACCTGTTACTTCCTGAAGACTTGTGTCCATATCTCTATGTGTGGCTTCTGTGGTTTGTTCCTGTTATTCCACCGGTAACAACAGTTATATATAAATGTAGGTGCTGGTTGACTACAGGGTTACTGAGTTCTAGATAATATGCGTAATGTTATTTTCAGTGTGAACTGTCAGGAATTTAAGTTAATTATTAATTCTAGGCCAAAATAGCTGAAAATATAGCTAACTTGGAGAATTTTTCCTGATCAGCTATTGTGGCCTGAAATTCACTTTGAATTACCAGCATTTCACAATTGAGTGAATAACTGTGCCAGTATTCTAGAACTCGGTCACCTTTAACAAAAATGATCTATTTTTTTTATTTAGCGCTACAAACCTGTGCAGTGTATCTAAGTGACAAGAAAGTTACTGATTATGCAGTAAAATTATGGAAAATAAAACATAAAATGTGATCCTGTTTGTGAAAGCTACCCCATTACGTTTGATGTTTTCTTCTACATGTGACACACTACAGGTAAGGTTTTAAGGGTGTCTTGCACTTTATAAAGTTTACCCAACTGCCTTGTTGACTTTCTTGCATTGTTGATATAGACTACACATCACTTGAGCTTGTGCAGTAGATGTTATGGTGGCAAAGTAATTGCGGTACCTCAGGATAAAATGGAGGTGGGGGAAATGGTAACGTTTGAGATTTAGATGCTCGCCAATGGCGAGTATGTGCAAAAACATAACAACGTGATGTAAGCAGAAGGTTTCAATTAACTGAGTTCTGCCTTAGATCTTTTGCTGCACCATTTTCTTATGCCTGAGGAAGGATAAGCTACAGTAAGTATGGTCACACCTCAGGTGTAGGTAGCCAGGTAAGTATGGTCACACCTCAGGTGTAGGTAGCCAGGTAGGTAAGGAAGGATAAGCCACAGTAAGTATGGTCACACCTCAGGTGTAGGTAGCCAGGTAAGTATGGTCACACCTTAGGTGTAGCTGAACAATCCTCTTCCTAGTCCCTAGGCAAACTCCAGGCAGGGTAAGGTATGGCTGCACTCTCCCCTCCGTTCGCTTCTACCTTCATCCCATGTCTCCTTCCCCCTTCCATCCATCTGTCTCCTTCCTTCCATCCATATCTCCCTCCCCTCTCCGTCCATATCTCCCTGCCCTCTCCATCCATATATCTCCCCCCATGCCTCCCTTCCATATCTTTCTCCCCCTTAAATCATGTCTCTCCTCCCTTCCATCCATACCACCCTCCCCCTTCCATCCATGTCTCCTTTCCATTCATACACCCCCATGTTTCAGCCTTTCTTTCATATCTCCACCCATGTCTCCCTTCCATCCATATCTCCATTCCATCCATAACGCCCCTCATGCCTTCCTTCCATATCTACCCATATGCCTCACTTTCATCCATACCAACCTTTTCCATCTATGCCTCCATGCATCCCTCCAATCCATATCTTCCTCCCCACTTCCATCCACGTCTCTCCCTCATATATCCTTTCCATCTATATCTCCCCCATGTCTCTCCTCCCTTCCATCCATGTCTCTCCTCCCTTGCATCCATAGCCCCCTTCCTCCATTCATGTCTTTCCCCCTTCCATCCATATCCCCATGTCTCTCTTCCATCCATTTCTCTCCCCCATGTCTCCCTTCCATCCATATTCCCCCTTCATCCATGCATGACTCTCCCCCTTCGATAAGACTCCCCATATCAACCTCCCCCTTCCATATCTCACCCATGTAAACCCTCCCTTCAATATCTATCCCCATGCCAACCCCCTTCCATATCTCTTCCCATGCCAACCCCCCTTCCTTATCTCACCCATGTAAACTCTCCCTTCCAGATCTCTTCCCATGCCAACCCTCCCTTACATCTCTACCATGTAAACCTCCCCTTTCATATCTCTCCCCATGCCAACCCTCCTTTCCATCTCTCCCATGTAAACCACCACTTCCATATCTCTCCCCATGCCAACCCTCCCTTCCATATCTCTCCCATGTAAACCCTCGCTTCCATATCTCTCCCCATGCCAACCCTCCCTTCCATCTCTCCCATGTAAACCCCCACTTCCATATCTCTCCCTATGCCAATCCTCCCTTCCATATCTCTCCCCAGGCTAACCCTCCCTTCCACATCTCCCATGTAAACCCCCACTTCCATATGTCTCCGCAAGCGAATCCTCATTTCCAAATCTCTTCCATGTAAACCCCCACTTCCATATCTCTCCCCATGCCAACCCTCCCTTCCATAACTCTCCCATGTAAACCCCCACTTCCATATCTAACCCCATGTCAGCCCCCCTTCCATATCTCTTCCCATGCCAACCCTCCCTTCCATATCTCTCCCCATGGTATCCCTCCCTTCCATATGTCTCTCCATGGTATCACTCCCTTCCATATCTCTCCCATGCCAGCCCCCTTCCATATCTCTCTCCATGCTATCCCTCCCTTCCATCTCTCTCCCATTCCAGCCCCCTCCAATATCTCTCCCTATGCCAATGCCCCCCCCCCTTTCCATTAATGTCTCCCACCTTATATCTCCCTCCCTCTTTTCCAAGCAGCAATCGGATGCTTCACTTACAGAGCTGGTGCTACCTTCAACTTGGCTTTCCTCACTTGCAGATTGATGGCAGGGGATGGGGGCGGCTGTGTCTGTGTCAAGCTGAGCACCTGGTAGTCAAGCAGAGGGCACAACAATCAGTACTTAACCTAACAATTCATTTTTGCGCCCCTTCTAAGCCTGCGTACCAGGTGGGCGCCGTTTTCGCCAACCCATCGTAACGCCCCTGCATTCTGTGCAGTGAAATATGCACAGAATTGACATTAGCAAGGCAGGAATTGATGACACCCCAATTATGTTGACCGAGGTGAAGATTTACCTCTGGCAGCACAGGTTTTAAAATTTGTATCTGCAGCATTTCATAGCAAATCACTGAAGTGATGATAGTACTCGAAGTAACCCATCAACCCATTCTATGCAGGGTGGGGGAGAAAGCTACTACTTAATAAAGAACAAATTATACAAGTAAAAGAGTGAGCACTGTATTCTGAATAAGCTTTAATGTATGACTTTTTTTTCTTTTATGTACTTGATATACATATATATTTTTTACTGAACATGGAGTTTTCATTCGTTTATATCTCATCACAATTTTAATAATGCTTAGCGAGCTGCATTTTCAACATTGAACATTATGTGGAGGAAGTGGCTGACGTGACTGATCATAAGTTCATTTCAGATGATACTCCACACATAAAAAGCTGTGTCACATTTCGAAGGCAGCCTACACAAGTGTGGGTTAGAAAATTTAAAAGGAAAAAATCACGTGCTTGCATTTATTTGCGTTTTACTTGCACCATAACATGAGATGTACAGTTCGGTCTGGAAATATTTGGACACCGACACAAGTTTTGTTATTTTGGCTGTGTACCAAAATAAATTCCAGTTACAGTTAAATAATGGGTTTAACGTGCAGCCTCCGCTTTAATTTGAGGGTATTCACATCCAAATTGGAGGAAGGGTTTAGGAATTACAGCCCAAATATGTAGCCGCCTCTTTTTCAAGGGAACATAAGTAATTGGACAATTGACTCAAAGGCTCTTTCATGGACAGGTGTGGGCTATTCCTTTGATATTTCTTCATCAATTAAGCGGTTAAAAGGTCTGCTGTTGTTTCCAGGTGTGGCATTCACATTTAGAAGCTGTTCTTGTGAACCACAACAAGCATTCAAAGGATGCAAGTGAAATAGGCCATCCTTAGGTTGCAAAAAAAAAAAAGTCCATCAGAGAGATAGCAGGAACATTAAGTGTGGCCAAATCAACGGTTTGGTACAGAAAAAAAGAAAAAGCCCTTCACAACATCATGTCACTCTTCAGGAGGTAGGCATATCATTATCCAAGTCTACCATAAAGAGAAGACTTCACACGAGCAAGCACCACAAGGTGCAAACCATTCATAAGCCTCCAGAACAGAAAGTCCAGATTAGACTTTGCCCAAAAAACATCTAAAAATGCTAGCCCTGTTCTGGAACAGCATTCTTTGAAAAGATGAAACTAAGATCAACCTGTACCAGAATGATGGGGAAAAAATATGGAGAAGGCCTGGAGCCTCCCATGATCCGCAGCATACCACATTATCTGTAAAACATGGTGGAGGCAGTGTGATGGCATGGGCATACATGGCTTCCAATGTCACTGGGTCACTAGTGTCTATTGATGATGAGACAGTAGACAGAAGCAGGTTGATGTATTCTGAAGTGTATGGGTATATCTTTTCTGCTTAGATTCAGTCAAATTAAGCAAAGTTGATTGGATGGCTCTTCACTTTAGAGATAGGCAATGCCCCAAAACATACTGCGAAAGTAACCCAGTATTTTTTTTTATGCAAAGAAGTAGAATTTTCTGCAACGGCCTAGTCAAATGCCTGATCTCATCCCGATCGAGCATGCATTTCACTTGCTGAAGACATAAGTTAAAAAAGAAAGACCCACAAACAAAAAACAACTGTATTAAAGACCTGGCAAAGTATCACAAAGGAGGAAACCCAGTGCTTGCAAAGGATTCTCGAGAAAGTATTAAAAATGTACATTTTTATTTATCATTGTGTTAATTTGTCCAATTATATTTGAACCCCTGCAATAAAGGGACTGCGTATGAAAATGTTTGCAACTCCTAAACGTTTATTACCATATTTTTGTTCAACCCCTTGAATTAAAGCTTCCATTGCATCTCGGTTGTTTATTTTCAATTCCACTGTGGTGGCGTACAGAGCCAAAATTATAAATATTGTGTCAGTGTCCAAATATTTCTGGACCTAACTGTATATTTGAGAATACATATAATTCCAGGCATATATGTACTTTAACAGTAATAACTATAATGCCAGATTCTAATGTACAAAATGAAGGATAGGAAAGTGTAGTGTTATGCTACCCTCTAGTGTGTATATTTCGTAGTGCAGCATCTAGGACTGGAGAGGAATATTTATTTATTTATGGCATTCAACATACTCCGCAGCCAGGGCCGGACTGTGAAATAAAAGCAGCCCTGGAAAAAAATTCTATACCAGCCCAATAATGCGTCGCGCCAGCATAGTGTGCAGATATAGAGGTGGAAGAGATAACTTAAAATTGAAAACTATTACTCCAACGAAAGAGCGCATATATGGCTTCAAAATAAACAAAAGAGCGCCTTTATTTTAAGCAGATGTACATTTGCATGTAATCAATGTTTTAGTACAACTACTTTGGCCTATTAAGGACATTTTAGTAATGGCACTGAAATGCTGAATGTCTACGGTTGCACAACTGAAAAAAAAATGAAGGGCTCTTCACTTTGAATATGTTATTGTGCATGAGTATGCAACTAGCAACAAGACTGGGCCAATACATGCTCATTGCATATATAAATATTAATGACATTTATGTGTGTATTATGCATATATAAATGTATATTAATATATGTGTAAATATTATAGGCATAATTATATGTTACTAATACACACATTAATATATATATATATATATATATATATGTGTGTGTGTGTGTGTGTGTATTACTGTCAGGATCACATCAATTGCGTCTATTACGTTTACTTCGTTTAGTGTATCTTGTCTCCAATTGTCTCCTTTTTTTCTCTTACAGCGACCCTTGTGCATCTTTTACTTCATCCCAGCCCCTGTGTGTCTTTTTACCCTTCTCCAGCCTCTCTATGTCTCTTTCCCCCAGCCCCTTTGTCTCTTTCTCCCCTTCCAAATCTAATCTGTGTGTCTCTTTCCAGCTCCAGACTCTGTGTGCCACTTTCTCTTATCCCAGCCACTCTATGTCTCTTTTTCCCCAGCCCAGCGTTGCCTCCCACAAATCTTGTGTCACTTTGTTCCCCTTCCCTACTGTATGTCTCTTTGTCCCCCCAACACGCCTTCTGTGTGTCTCTTTCTCCACTCTCCTCCCTGTGTCTCACTTCCCCATCTCTTCCCTGTGTCTCTCTCTTACCCCTGTCTCTTTGTCCCCCTTCCCCTGTGTCTCTATTACTCCTCTGTCTCTTTGTCCCCCCATCCCCTGTGTCTCTCTATTACCCTTCTGTCTCTTTGTCCCCCCCCCTTCCCTGGTGTCTCTCTATTACCCCATCTGTCTCTGTGTCCCCCCTTCTCCTGTGTCTTTCTATTACCCCTCTCTTTGTCCCCCCATCCCCTATGTCTGCCCACCCGGCAGCACCGACATGCGGCCAGCGGCCGCGATATTATTAAAATATAGGGAGCAGGGCTCCCTCTCTATATGCAGCTCCCCAGGTGCTGCGGCCCACCGGAAAATTTCCCGGTATCCCGGTGGGCCAGTCCGGCCCTGTCCGCAGCGCTGTACAATTGGAAAAAAGACAATACAATATAAACAGACCGATAAAAAAGGTAGAGGGCCCATCCCATGAGCCGACAATCTAATGTAATATAATTATTAGCTAGTAGCTACTGAATGCTGTTTGATGACTTGGTACCCTGATCTGGTTTATCTAATTATTTATTTGCCACCAAGAGTTAAGAGGTGATATTTATAAAGAACAATGAGGAAATATAAAATAATCTACGGCACAATTAAATAAGCAAGAAATAAACCAAAATATTGTCTTTGGCGCAATAAAAGTGCACTATGCAATTTTACAATTATGCACAGAATACAACGTAAAATATCAGTATTACCTTAACCCCTTAAGGACCAAACTTCTGGAATAAAAGGGAATCATGACATGTCACACATGTCATGTGTCCTTAAGGGGTTAAAAGGCTTTAAAAACTGGTCAGGATACTCTCAGAATTGGTATATATAAAGTGGATCATATAACGAGAAAAACATAAAAAGAAAGAAATATAATAGTGCAGTATTTACTGTAACAATAACAGTTTTAAAACAACCAAATGTAAACTTACAAGAATGTATGTACAAAAAGATTTGTGCTATATGAGCATTGTCCACCAGGGGGCCACTTCTTTGGCAAACATATACCGTCCTCAGGATCTATGTAGTAGCAACTGGCTGGAAAGGCACTGTTTATTCTGTATATTTCATTCACCAGAATTTCAGGTCACCATAGTCCTTGTAGTGCGTTCGTCTGTTTGGGTTCGCTCGACATGTTTCATCCTCATTCAGAGTTTTTTCAAGAGCTGCGATTCCCTTATGAGCGTTCGGCTTCTTATAACCGAATGAATTGGTTTCTGCGCCTTCCAATTGACAACTTCTACGTTTGCGGCTTTTCGTTGGTGACGTTATCGCGTTTAGGACTAAACAGCTGAGCTCGATTTTTTGTTTCTTTTTTCCACCAACTTTATAGACATTGTCCAGAAAGGGCAATATATTAAATAAGCAAATCCAATGCCCCTTACCCAAGAGAGCATACATGAAAGAAGACTTCATACAGGCTGTTAAACTATCTGATAATCTCAGACCAGAAGTTTTCTATAACCTCTTTTTAAAATATAGTTACAAATAAATAGAGGCTGAAACAAAGATTCAAGACCAACCTTTATAACATTCTGCAAATAGAAAAATAAAGCTATGTGTATTAAAAATGTAAACTCATATAAATATTATTTAAGGAAGGTATGTAGAATCTTTTTAACCACTTGGTGGTGTCCAGTTTTTACGGTGTCCAAATTGTCAGGTATTTGCCAAGATTTAAATCTCTGAACGGATACCATAAATGACCACTTGATGGCTCCAGTTGATCAGTAATGAAAGGTGTCTTGCTAATAGATCTCCAAACAGGGATATATTACACAAACTCTTCCCAAGGGTAAGGATCCAAATAAATGTGCAAATTTTCAGCTTATTTTGTTGCTCAATAATGATACTAAATTGTACGCCAAAGTTGTGGCTACTAGCTTGGCCAAAATAATCCCTAAACTTGTTAAAAACACTCAGGTTTGATTTGTGTTAGACAGGCAAGCTGCAGATGGCACTTTTATTTAAAAATAAAATACAAATAATATAGTGTAATATTGTTTGGCGCATATAAAATCAAACAAAATGGAAATATTGCCTTCACGTTTTTATTTATGTATAATCTGGAATGTGGCATGCCAAGGCGGAGGGAATAAAGTCCACCAGAATCTTATCAATTTGAGGCCGATTGTGACGAAATGCGCATCGTGACTTTCATAGACTCGGTGTGCGGTCATACCGACATGGGGTGATGCTGCACACTACGATATATATACCTCCTGCAGTTATCTATTAAATGGTGATCACACACTGAGATCTATCTTGCCCTTATTATTATTTTTTTTTATCCTTTCATTTCTTTATCTTTCACAATATTAATTATTATCTACTCAAGCTGTTTTTGCACTAGTAGCCTAAGAATGTTAAGAATAGGGGGGGAAGGGACTTAAGGATAGGTGCCCTCCAAGGCACAGAATAGTAATTATACTTATAGAGCTCAGGGAACTTATTTCTATTTAGATATCCCTATCCAGCAGCTCTATCTCTTCAGATAGTCATTGCTTTTGCTCCTAAGATCTAGGACTTTTTTCAAAATACATTTTTCTATCGCACTAAAGCGAGTTAAGAATAGATTTTGATCCAGTGATTATCTATGATATATAGTTATTCTAGAGCTCTTTTTATCTGTCATCCTTTGGTTTGGGCTACATTTAAGTTACATGTTAGGTTTAGCAATATTGAACGTTATAATTTATTTTCATTTATGTGTAAAGGCTACATATTCTGTCAATGATATTGGAGTAGGTCCCCACTTTTTTAGGCAATAATAATAAAAGTTATATTTGAATGTTTACAAGCCTGTATTTTGCTCTGTGTAATTTTAAGGTTTAATAGGCTCATAAAAACGTGAGTGCAATATTTTCATTTTATTTTATATGCTCCAGACAATATTGCACTATATTATTTGTATTTTATTTTATTTGTTTGGATAATATGGAGCTAATTGGAGATCTACTTGCAAGACACCTTCCATTACTTATTATCTGGTGTCATCAATGGCTAGTTTCTGGTATCCATTCAGAGTTTTAACACTTATACTTAACAATTTGGACACCTGAAAATGTGAACACCACCGTGTGGTTAAAAAGAATTGATACATACCTTATATTATTTATATGTTTTTGCTACATGTATGTGTTTTTAATTATTGATAGGCACAGCTTTAAACTATTTTTCTACTTTGACTGGTTAAACAGATATCCATTCTTTAAGCATTGCTGCCTTCATAGTGTAAACTATTTTTCTTCTTTGGCTATAGAGATATCCATTCTTCAAAGGAACACTATAGTCACCTAAATTACTTTAGCTAAATAAAGCAGTTTTAGTGTATAGATCATTCCCCTGCAATTTCACTGCTCAATTCACTGTCATTTAGGAGTTAAATCACTTTGTTTCTGTTTATGCAGCCCTAGCCACACCTCCCCTGGCTATGATTGACAGAGCCTGCATGAAAAAAAAAAACCCTTTCAAATAATTGTATCTCAATCTCTAAATTGAACTTTAATCACATACAGGAGGCTCTTGCAGGGTCTAGCAAGCTATTAACATAGCAGGGGATAAGAAAATCTTAATTAAACAGAACTTGCAATAAAGAAAGCCTAAATAGGGCTCTCTTTACAGGAAGTGTTTATGGAAGGCTGTGCAAGTCACATGCCGGGAGGTCTGACTAGGGTTAATAAACAAAGGGATTTAACTCCTAAATGGCAGAGGATTGAGCAGTGAGGTTGCAGGGGCATGTTCTATACACCAAAACTGCTTCATTAAGCTAAAGTTGTTCAGGTGACTATAGTGTCCATTTAAGCATTGCTGCCTTCATAGTGTAAACCTTTTTTAGCGCTGTATTAGATATATATTTGTCTTTAATACATCCTGGTGTCTGCTGTTGATCCAAAAGAAGGCAAAAAACAAAACAAAAAACACAAAAACCTTAATTTGAAGCCATTTCTAATTGTGACACAAAACATGGGGAGAATATATTTGTTTATTTTTATTCCAAAATGGAAATATAGTTCTCCTTTGACCAGTAAACTGTTAATCCACATATTACATTATTATATCCTCTAATTACCCTGACAAGCTCCAGGCGGGCTTTGGGGAGTACATTTTTGGGTCTGGCAAGTAGCATAGGACTTGAAATTTAACCCCTTAAGGACTGAGCCAAATGTACACGTGATCAAAACAAAACGTAAACAAAAACTTGAATTTGCACTATATGTCTGTTCAGGCGTAATTCACCCCTTTTGTATTATGTGCATCCACACTTATTTTATATAATTTTATTTAGGGGAAACAGGGCTTTCATTTAACATAAAATATTTAGGTATGAAACATAATTTAATATGAATAAAATATTTTAAAAAAAACGTGACATTCTAACTATGAATGTCATAATACTGTTTGCTTTTACTGCAATGAAATACACATTTCCTGGCTAATCATGGCAGCATCACTTATGGGTTGGCTCCGCCCCAATCAGGTACAGCACAGGAAAAATCAATTAATCTGGACCCGACTGGGGTATAAAAGGTCCCTCCTCCTTCCAACCCACAGTCTTTTTTCCTGTCCTTTCAGGACAAACAGGATAAGGTTTTTTGGGGGGCCACCTTCCCATGTGTACCATGGGCCTCCAGATGAAGTTCAGCCTCTCTTCAACTGAAGAACTCAGTAATCAGGCTGCACAGGCAGGACTAACTGAGTTAGGTACAGATTATTATCTGTACCATGGAGTTGGATAAATGATATATAAATTATAATATAAATAATTGATGTGGGGTCAGCTGTAGCTTTAAAAATTCCCCTGCTAAACATCAAAACCCCCCTGATCAGAAGGCAGAGTATTATGGAGAAGCCAGTAATGCCTATCATCAAAACAGTAAGTCTTCACTTTGGTTTTCTTATTAAGCTTTAGATTCTCTTGTTTCATCTTACCTGAGCTGTATAATCTTTGTGGGAGGCTCAGACTGCATAAGTTTCTTCACCAGAGCCTGGGCTCTTCTGTGCTCGGTTTCCAGAGCAAGCGCAGTACCGGCGGCGTCCGGCGGGCGCTCTGTGCATTCGTGCATTAATTTCGCCCTTAAAGGTATATCGCGCCAAAAAATAAAAAGTTTTAAAATTGAGCGGTTTTGCTGTTAATAACCTCCCTGGTCATCTGGTAACTAGGAAAGCTGCCTCTGAACATCCAGATTCTCTTTTAAGGTCCACACTGCTATTAAGGAGGTCATCCAGGAAGAATGGAATAGACCAGAGAGAAAGGTTACATTAAAAAATAAAACTCCCAGACTATATCCGTATGCTCTAGAAGACTGCAAATCGTGGATTTCTGTTCCAAAAATTGATGCGGCAGTGATCCATATGGCAAAAAGAACGACTCTTCCCATAGACTCCATGGCATACTTAAGAGAACCTATGGAAAAGCCATTGGACGCTAACCTTATCAAAGCATACCTGGCTCTGGGATCAACATTACATCCCACTATTGCCCTAACCACCTTGTCCAGAGCTCTCAAAATTGGGTAGATAACTCAGAAGAGGATACTAATAGAGGAGTCCGTAGAGAACACCTGATGGAGGGACTTAAGGATTTAAAATTAGCCACAGAATTTTGTTCTGAAGCTTCACTGGATGTTACCAAGATGGTAGCAAAAAGTATGGCACTGTCAGTAGCATCCAGAAGAGCATTATGGCTTCACTCCTGGGGGGCAGATTACGATTCTAAGGCTTCCCTATGTGCGCTCCCCTTTCAAGGTGACCTCCTTTTTGGTAAAGTCTTAGAAGATGCAATTCATAAAGCAGCGGATGGGAGAAAAGCTTTTCTTCCACAAGGGAAAAGAAGATTTAATGCATCTTACTGGAAAGATAAAAATTCAGAGACCGATCCTTTCGAGATAGTAGAGCATATAGACCCGGCAAAGAATACAGAAATTCTAACTGGAGAAGCTATCAGTCCTCTACATCTAAACCTGTTAGAGGAAGAGGATCTCGACCACCCACCAAAAACTTCTGAACGTTTGCTGGCCCAGCCAGATGTTATAGGAGGCAGGCTTCGCTTCTTTTATCCGGTTTGGGCCAAGAATATTCAAGATTCTTGGGTTCTGTCTATTCTAATGGAAGGATACAAGATAGAATTCAAGGAATTCCCTTATCAAAACTCTTTCATTCATTCAAGAGTTTCAAAAGGAAGAAAAGAAATCGCTCTGAACAACATAATTTCCCAGCTGCTGCAGAACCAGGTTATAGAAAAAGTTCATTACAGAGAGCGTTTCAGCGGCCATTATTCCACTATATTTCTGGCCCCAAAACCCCAGGGAAAATGGCGCCTAATTCTGGATCTAAAGGGTCTGAATACAAAATTGATGACAAGAACATTCAAGATGGAGTCTATTACCACTATCCTGCCCAATATAAAGCCGGGGAACTGGATGACTTCTATCTATCTCAAAAATGCCTATTATCAAATACCTATTCACGACAGTCATCGCCGGTTCCTGAGGTTCTGGATTTCGAGGAATCACTACCAGTTCAAGGGACTTCCCTTCGGATTAAGTTTGGCCCCCAGAACGTTTTCAAAGATCCTTATTTCCCTGGTAGCCTTTATAAGGACAAAGAACATCGAGCTTTATCATTATCTGGACGATTTTTTAATAATAGGCCCATCCAGACATATTGTGAATCTCCACACCAGAATTACCATCACATACCTTCAAGAGCATGGTTGGTTGATAAATCCCAAAAAGAGTTCTTTGGTTCCTTCACAGAGGATGATATTCCTGGGAGCAAATATAGATTCGGAGAAAGGCCTGGTATCTCTATCTACAGAGAGAAAGGAGCGAATCGTGAAGAAAATCAGAGGACTGCGTCAGAAATCCTACATCTCAGCAAGAGAATTCATGAGCCTATTGGGGTCTCTTACTTCCACGATAGGCCTAGTGAAATGGGCCCAATGGAAGATGCGACCTATTCAGAGGCATTTTCTCATACACTTCGATACAAAAACAGGGAATTGGGATCAGAAGATTTGTTTCCTCCCGAGGATTTCAACAGATCTGTATTGGTGGACAAAAGAAGAAAACCTATGTCAAGGGTTTCCCCTGGAAGAACCAGTTTGGATAACCATAACAACAGATGCCAGTCTCCTGGGATGGGGAGCACACTTGAACAACTCATGGATTCAAGGAACATGGTCATGGAAGGAGTCAAAACTTCATTCGAATTTAAGAGAAATGAGAGCGGTTCTCAGGGTGCTAAAGGGGTTGCGTCATCTCCTGAGGAATGCTTGGGTGAGAATACATACAGACAACAGATCGGTCGCATCTTATATAAATCATCAGGGAGGCACCCGAAGCTATTCTCTTCTGATGGAACTATCTCCTATAATGAAGTTTGCGCAACGCCATTTACAAGGGTTGAAAGCAGTTTACCTTCCAGGGCCAGAAAATTTATTAGCAGATTATCTCAGCAGAACAAGAATTCTCCAGGGAGAGTGGAAGTTACATCCGGACTTATTTCAGTTGATTACCCTGAGGTGGGGAGTACCCCAGATCGATCTTATGGCATCATACAACAATACCCAGGTAGAAAAGTTTTACTCTCTACATGCGGATCCTCGAGCAGCAGGACAGGATGCTCTGTCCCTTACATGGAAATTCGACCTGGGGTACGCGTTCCCTCCCCTACCTATGATTTACAGACTACTAAGAAAAATATGGAAAGAAGGTCTCAAGGTAATTGCCATCATCCCAATTTGGCCTCCCAGACCTTGGTTTCCTCTCCTGAACAAGTTGAGCCTGGAACCTCCTTGGCCTCTTCCTCAAAGACCAGACATCTTGACCCAGGGACCGACTGTTCATCCAAACCCCAACCAGCTGAAATTGGGGGCATGGCTCTTGAAAAGGAGAGACTTCTAGCTCAAGGCATTTCTGAGCCTGTGGTTAATACCCTTCCTGTCTCATCAGAGAAATTTGCCTTTTAGCTGATACCAGCAAGGTGATTTGTATGTTATAGCCCTATTTAGGGTAAAGTATGTAGGGGTTTATAAAACACCCTTTCATGTCTCATTAGAGACGTCTATACTTTGTCTGATACCAGCAAAGTTTATTGAATGTGTAGAAGCCCTATAAAGGGTTAAATGTTAAAGGGTTTATAAAACACCCCTTTCTGTCTCACTTTGTCTGATATCAGCAAAGTTTATTGTATGTGTAGAAGCCCTATAAAGGGTTAAATGTTAAAGGGTTTATAAAACACCCCTTTCTGTCTCACTTTGTCTGATATCAGCAAAGTTTATTGTATGTGCAGAAGCCATATAAAGGGTTAAATGTTAAAGGGTTTATAAAATACCCCTTCCTGTCTCATTGGAGACTCATGGCTGATATCGGCATATCTAATGGCTAGTGTAGGAACTCACCTATTGAGGCTTGCCTTGACGTGGCAGGTGAGCTTACATATTCAAATGGCCATTAGAATAAAACCAAAGAGCCTCCATTTCTGTTTAAACGCACATGGGGATTTAGGCCAGAGCGCAGGTAACGTTTTCTTTGTTTTTACTATGTATTTTAGCTGTTGGATACTAAGCCACTGCTGCTGTAAGCGCGGTGCTTTATCTTTGTGTTTGTATATGTGGTTAATACCCTCCTTAAATCCAGAAAAGGGTCGACTTCTTCTTGCTACCATAAGATATGGGAGGTGTTTCGTTCCTGGTCTCTAGCTAACAACGTTGATTTCCTGCAGCCCTCTAACATCAATATTCAAAATTTTCTTCATACAGGCCTGGAAAAAGGGCTGAGCCTTAGTACTCTGAAAGTCCAATCATCAGCTTTATCTGCTCTCTGCAACAAGTCATGGGCATCTGATCCTATTATTGCCAGATTATTTAAAGCAACAATTCGCATAAAACCTCCAAAAAGGAATTATTCGCCACCTTGGAATTTACCGATGGTATTAGAGGTTTTGTCTGAAAACCCCTTTGCTCCTTTAGATGAGCTGGGTATTGTCTTACTTACATATAAGTCCTTGTTTTTGGTGGCTATAACTACAGCAAAACGCATGTCAGAAATCCATGCATTCTCTTGTGATGAAAACCATTTCCAGGTATTACACGACAGAGTGGTTTTAAGACCTAAACAAGAGTTTCTGCCTAAAGTAGTCTCGAATTTCCACATTCTACAGGAAGTTGTTATCCCTTCCTTTTATCCATCTCCTTCTTCTCCAGAAGAAGTGAAACTTCATCAGTTGGACGTTAGACAATGTCTACTCAAATACGTTGAAGTTTCAAATCAATTTCAAAAGTCTCATCAGCTATTTGTTCTGCTGATAGGTCCCAGGAGAGGGGAAGCAGCATCTCCCTCCACCTTGAGACGCTGGATCTCCAATACTATAATCAAGGCTTATCAATTAAAAGACCTTACTCCTCCTAGTAAGATAAAGTCTCACTCTACAAGGGCTTGGGCAACATCTTGGGCAAATTGGGCAGAAGTTCCAGCTGACGACATCTGTAAGGCAGCTACCTGGTCTTCACCTCTTACGTTCATCAAGCACTACAAACTAGATTTGGCATCATCCTCTATGGCCTTTGGTAGAGGTGTTCTATCCTCTGTTGAATCTATCTAATTAAACTTATTTCAGCATTATCTGGTTTAGAGTAATTTTTTTTTTTCCCTCCCTATGGTGAAGCTTGGGAATTACCCATAAGTGATGCTGCCATGATTAGCCAGGAATACAGAAAATGTTATCATACTTACCGTAATTTTCTTTTCCTGGCTATTATTCATGGCAGCATCAGCAACCCTCCCTTAAGTATTTATGAAGCTTTGGAACTCGACTGTGGGTTGGAAGGAGGAGGGACCTTTTATACCCCAGTTGGGTCCAGATTAATTGATTTTTTTCCTGTCCTGTACCTGATTGGGGCAGAGCTAACCCATAAGTGATGCTGCCATGAATAATAGCCAGGAAAAGAAAATTACGGTAAGTATGATAAAATTTTCTGTAATTTGTATTCAGCGATTTCTCACGTGAAAAAAGTACCTTCTATGTACAGGTTTTATGGTGTTTTGGGAAGTTACAGGGTCATATATAGCATGTTACATTTTTCAAATTGAAATTCGCCAGATTGCTTACATTGCCTTTGAGACTGTGTAGTAGCCCAGGAATGAGAATTACACCCATGATGGCATACCATTTGCAAAAGCAAATGGGGTATGTCCAGTCTTTTTCAGTAGCTTCTTGGTCACAAACACTGGCTAAAGTTAGTGTTATTTGTTTGTGTGAAAAATGCAAAAAACAAATTTGAATGCCAATTTTGGCCAGTGTTTGTGACTAAGTGGCTACTAAAAAAGACTGGACATACCCCATTTGAGTTGTCTACTATTGCAAATGGTATGCCA